TTGTGTTTTTTTTTAATCATTTTTCACTTTATTTTACTTGTTTTAATTGTTTAAAAGTATTTTTCTTGATTTTAAAATTTTGAAAAAATTATGGAAGGATTCAATGACCCCTTGACAAATATTGGTGACTTGATTTGATTTTTATTTTTGACTTTTCTATTTTTACAAGTTTTGCTTTATTTTATATTTTAAAAATAATTTGACTTTAAAATATTCTAAAAAATTTTGTCTACACTTGTTGACTCATGTTTGACCTCTGATATTTTTTTAGAATTTTTATTTGGTGTTTTAATACGTGTTGTGTTTTTTTACCAATATTTTCCTTTTTATTAATCATTTTAATTTTGTTTTGTATTAAATATATTTTATTATTTTTGTGATTGGTTCTAATTTGTACTTTGGGACAAGTTCCTCAACCTCATTGGATCTTGGGTGTTGATGGGTTGAAAAACCTAATCCATCAAAATGGATGAATGATGTTGACGATATTTGAAATCCTAATTTCATCCGTGACTTTCATCTCCCTCTTCATCTTATCCCTTTCTTATTTTTACTTGTGCTACATGTTTTTTAAGAATGATCTACATATCATTTCTCTAACATGTTGGTACATAGATTGCTATTGATCGACCTCAAAATAGGTGTGACTTCTACATAAGTTCACTTACGATTGCTTAACATAGCGTTAAATTTGTTATAATTTGAAAAATGATCAATCGTGGTCCAAACTTATGTTTGGAAGCCCAAATATGTTTGATTTGAAACCTTTGATCCAATAACTTTGAAGTTCATTGTTAGGAGGCTTTAATTCTATCAATCCTCTAATGAACTTCATGAATTTTGGTCTAAGTGAATCATTTAAACATCGTTGATTATATGTGGTTATTTTGAGTATTTAAAATGAATGATATATTTGACAAAAAGCAAATGAAATTTGTTGTTGAGAAACTTTGATTTTATCAATCTTCTAATGTGTTTTTAAAAGCAAGCTTCAAGATGGTCATTCAACTAACCTTTTAACTTTTAATTCATTAACAATTAACTTTATTTTATGCCTTTATTTTGTGCCTTTACTTTTATGTACAATTTATTTTGTTAGCATTTACATTTCATGCCACTTTTTCTTTTGCTCACTTGAACATTTATTTTTATGTCATTTTTTTGTTTACTCACTTGAGTTTTCTTTTTCTTTCAAAGACACTTAATAATCAACTTGAACATTAAAAGCTTTAAGGTTACTTGGACTACTGATTACTATTATTGACATTGTGTAGTTATGGATCTCTCGGACTTAGGATTAGAAGCCTTAATACTTGGGGACCTTGTTGCTTAACTGTTATTCTATCTGAAATTCTTGGAGTTTACTCTAAGGCATTGAGTTTATTTTCTTTGTGTACAAGTTATTCTGATTATATGCTTTGTTTGTGATTAAGAATTTCTCTGCATACAGACGTTATTTTGCCCAATTTTTATGAAGATTTAATTCATCTGAAGTTTGGTATTTAGTAGAGGTTTAGTATTTTTGCTTGCTTGATTTCAATCTAAAGGATGATAATTCTACATTGACTTCGTATGTTAAGTGTTGGCTTTTTGTTGGTTAGATCGTTCTTTTTCTTAGCTTTTACTTTGTGCTTTAGGATAGTGCCTTCATCTTCTCCCATCTTCTTTAATTTCAAAAATATTCTCCATTCTTTTCAAAACTCTTCTTGTTTTCTAACTTGAACTTTATAATAAACTTGGACTTAGGTACATGCATTTTCAAAAATCGTTAACCTCATTCAAATCATTTTGCCACTTTGCTTTTTTACTTTAACACTTTTTCTCAAAATATTACACTCTTGTTGATTCTTGTAGTGATGCGAGCTACTATACTTCTATGATATGTAGTGAAGTGAGATATTTTTTACTTGGGTGTTGAGTGAGATTTTGTTGATTTTAAAATCCAAGCTATATCATCCACTTTAAGATGATGCAAATTCTCATTTCTCATAATCATGGGTAGTAAGTATATTTTCCACTCGGATATGACGATCATGTCTCTTCTTTTAAAATAAACCAACACACATGTGTTTTAAAATTTTTGAGGTGAACTATAAGTACCATGATCCTCTATCGCACGGAAGGTGATACGTAAGCACTAAAGGTTCGCAACCGCGACGGATGTAAAAATTGTAAAAAATACTTCTTTTCTCATCTCCACCATCTATTTTTTGTATATACATTTTATAGACAAAATACACAAATTTTTATTTGACCTGTACGAGTCAAGTCAATCGAATAACTTAATCTCAACATTTCTATCATTACATATACATATAAAAGTTTTACTAGTGTAGCTGTATGAAGTACTCAAATTGATTTTAACTATAGTAACTTAACCTAATCATCAATTAAATTAGAATTGTTATTATGTTATGTTCATATTCTTGGAATGCTTTTGTCAATGCTTTCAGAACAATACAAATAACAATCATATCTATTGTTACTTTACTGTGTTCTTTAAAACAAAAATGTCGGTTGGAACTGTTCAAGATAGACAAAAATTCTACGGTGCACTATTCTTTACATTGATAAATGTGATGTTTAATGGGTTTCGAGGCTTCCCATTTTCTATAAAAAAAGGAATTTTAAGTTTTACCCTACATGGGCATTTGAATTGCCTATATGGATTCTTAGGATCCCTATCTCATTTTTTGAATCATTGATATCGATTGTCCTTGCATATTTAACAATTGGGTTTGCTCCTTCTGTTAGCAGATAATATTAGTTTACTTTTATCAAATTCCTTAACATACACTTTAAATTGAAGGTGTGTCCTTAATCAAATCTGTATAGATATTAGATACTGACACAACTCAGTGTCAGACATGAACGCCGATATTTATTTTCAATTACTTCAATTTTATTAAATTATGATTGATTTGGTGTTTGTGTTAGTGTGTCAGTATATTTTTGTTTCAACAATATTTAGAAAATGGAATGATAATTTATTGTCTATATGATCAGATTCTTTTTACAATTCTTGGCATTGTTTGGCATTCATCAGATGGCTCTCTCCTTATTTCGGTTTGTCGCCTTAGTTGGTAGATCACTAATTTTTGCTAATTCATTAGGTACATTGACATTGCTAGTGGTATTTATGATGGGAGGGTTCATAATTGCCAAAGGTAAGTAATTGTTCGATTTTATTTTACAACACTTGCACTCGCTACACACCAATCACTTCCGCTAGCTATAGTTCTAAAAAATACTTATTGTAACACATTTTGTCTCCAGAGGTTAAATCACAGTCACAGTCAATGGTGTCTATAATATATCTTCTCAAAAGATTAAATGTTTATTGTCTGATCATATTAGAGGCCGCGTATAATGTGCTAGCCCTCTATCCTTTTCACACTGGTTAATATGCTTCTTCCCATTCCTACATTTCCATTATGTACGATCATCGTGTCATTTTACTTCCTTAAATTTTGCTGCTACTACTCTATCCTAACTGCATCAACTCCAAATAATATGAAAAAGAGACAATCAATCATATTCGGTAACTTTGGACGAAATGTTTTTTTGCAAATGGTTGAAGATTAAAAGGTGGTTGAAGATCAAAAGGATGAGGAGAAAAATCTTCAAGATAAAATGCAAATGGTTGAAGATGATAAGGACCAAGAAAATATAGAAATGATGCTGAAACAAAAGGGAAAGAAGAGAAATTATATATGAAGAAAGGGACATAAAATATCATGATTTGGTTGAATATTTTGTTGATACATGAAGAATATTTTGTTGAATATTATGACTTCTTAGTACAAAAATATGATTTTGTATACATTTTGGTAAATATGAAGAAATATTATGACTTAGTAGTACATGAAATATGATTCTGATGTATGACTTTTTAGTACAAGAAATATTTGTGTTGATCATTATGCCTTCTTAATATATGAAATATGAAGAAATGTGATAATTAAAATAGGGTGTAACGGTATCATATGAAATAGGGTATAAATGGAATTAAATATAATATAACAATCATATTTCACACCTATGATAATTAAAATAGGGTGTAAATTTATCATGTATTTACACCCAATTTTCTTTTAAAAAGGGTGTAACTTATCATGTATTTACACCCGATTTCTATTAAACAAGGGTGTAATTTAGCATGTATATACATCCGATTTTAATCAAATCGAGTGTAGATTTGTTTGATATAAACATACATATGTAAAAATTTACACTCATTTTCTATTAAAAAATAGTGTAACTTATAATCTATTTACACTCAATTTCTATTAAAAAATTGTGTAACTTAGTATATATTTGAACCCGATTTTTATCAAATAGGGTGTAGATTTGTTTGATTTATATATATATATATATATATATATATATATATATATATATATATATATATATATATATATATATATATATATATATATATATATATATATATATATATATATATATATATATATATATGTGTGTGTGTGTGTGTGTGTGTGTAATAATTTACACCAGTTTTTTATTAAAAAAATGTGTAATTTATCATCTATTTACACTCGATTTTTATCAAACTGGGTGTAATTTGTTTGATTTGAATGTGTATATATAATAATTTACACCAGTTTTTGATTAATAAAGGGTGTAAATTAACATGTATTTACACTCGTTTTAAACGGGTGTAAATTCGTTAGACATTTCTCACCAGTTAAATTTACACCCTTCAAAAATAAATGTAAATTTATATTTTTGACTACTGTGATATTTTATAAGCATTTCCCATATGCATTATAAACACTGTAAGAAATAAACACTGGTCAAACTTCATGTTAATAGTTTCTTTGAGATTTTGCTCATCTAATTCTAATGTCCTCTCTAGAAACACACCCTCAGTACAACATCAATTTTTAAATTTTTGGTATATATACAAAATTTAAATTTCAACACAGTTGTTTACCATTAAATAACACCCCAAAACAAGATGAAACACAAATGCAAAATCACATTAGGAAACCCTGCGCCCCAATAAACCCTAAAACATACCAATTTTTGTAATTTAAACCAATAAAATAATATTTAAAAGAAAATCTCCTCACCAAAGCCTTAGGAATTGATGGTGTCACTAGAATCAACTTCCATGACTGCTTAAGAGCAAGTTCTTGAAGCCTCTGGGTTTTTGACCCAAACCTACAATTGATACACACATTATAAACTGGTGGTGAAAATAAATAAAATCATTAAATTTAAAAGAATGATATTGAAATTGAAAGACAACTAGCTTGAATACCTAGGAAGTTGACTGAGCTTGATATTGAGTCTGTACCAAAGCTTCATCCATGTTAAGACCTGTTGATGTACTTGAAAGTACAGACCCAGAGATTGGAGTGATTTTTTATTGTCTTGCCATCTTTTTACATAAAAAATTCTACTATACCATCCTCTTCAATAAATATTTCCATACTACCATATTTTCAAATCAATTTTATTTTTGTCACAAAGCATCCGCTAGGTGAATGGGTAGAACTGTTGAAAATATTTGACATCCGCAAAAGCAATAGATAAAAGTGTTATAACTTTTAGAGGCTCCGCCCATTAACGTGAAACTGTATAATTTAATATTATATTAAAAAAAAGACATTATAACATCTTCGCCAGTCCAATGGGCGGGAGCTGTATAATTTAGAGAGCATCTGCCAATCTAATGGGTCACTACGAAAAAAACAATTTTTGGCAGCGCATCTACGAAAGCGCTTTTAAGAGAAAGCGCTTTCGTAGCCTTTAAAAAAAATTCGCTTAAAAAAAGCGCTTTTATAGGGTTTCCTACGAAAGCGCTTTTCAGAAAGCGCTTTCATAGGTATTTGAAATATCTAACCTACGAAAGCGCTTTTGAAAAGCGCTCTTATAGGTGGCCCTATAAAAGCGCTTTTGAAAAGCGCTCTGAAAGGGGGACCTAGAAAAGCGCTTTCTAAAGCGCTCTTATATGGGGGACATACGAAAGCGCTTTTTACCTCAGAAACGCTCTCATATATGGGTCTTAGAAAGCGCTTTTAAAAGCGCTTTCGTAGCCTGTATCCCTAAATACGAAATTTGCCCTCACTTGTTCATTTCTTCGTCTTCTTCATTTCTTCTTCCTGTTACCGTTCGTTTCTTCTTCCTGCCGCCGTTCATTTATTCCTGCCGCCATTCCTGTTCCTGTTCGTTTGTTTGTCGTCGTTACTGTTCGTCTTCCTTGCATTCCGTTCCTGTTCCTGTTCGTGTTCATCCCATTGTTTCGTCGTTCTTCCCTCTTCTTCAATCGTCGCCGCCGTTCACTGCGTTCTTGTCCATCTTGGTAAGTTTCTTCTTCTTCCATTATCTGTTCCGTTATTTGACCGTTTAGTTATGCATGTTGTAACCTCTAAAACCTTTATATTGCCACTATATTTGCAGTTGTGGATTGTAATTTAGAACTATAATTTTGATTTCACTGAATGTGTGACTCCAAGGATTGCTTGCAGAGGTATAATTTTGGGGTATAAAATTGGTTGGCTCTAACCAAAATTGAATACTTGTTTGTGTGCAAAGTTTGTCAAAGAAAATAAAATAATCGGTATTTTTTCCTTTTTTGTTTACGTTGAGAATTTGTTAGTATGAACAACATAAATGAGTGAATAGAGAATTTTCAATTCATGTTTTAGGTATTTCACATTTTTTGACCTCACTCTTTGGGTTTTTCTTTTGTTTTCTGGTTACAGAATTACTTCAGTTGTTTCTTTTCGTTGCCAATAGTGATATCCTCGATGAGATGGGGCATTGACGCTGGAAGGAAAACTCTGGTTAGACTTGCTAGTTGCTTAACTAAATGCGATAGATAAGTCTTGAATAGTTATTGTTGCATTATCATAATTTCTTTGTTCTTGTTGTAGGTTGCAACAACTATACTTTTGTTTGTCCTATCTGGCCCAGTCAAAGCTCTAACTTATCTGGTAAGCTTGCCTTTAACTTCATTGGTTCTTCTTCTTCTTCCATTATTTGTTCCGTTATTGTGAACCTTTATGTTAAAATAGTATATATCTTTCGACAATCGATCTGAAATATTGAATAACATTCTATGAATTTGCAGCATTTCCCGGCCTAGTTCGACGTACGACGCTCATTCTCCGCGTTTCTTAGAGTTCGAAACATCTGAGAGGTAACTTTCTTCCTCAAATTACTGGTATATATTGTGATGAATTTGTCTTAAATTGTCTTTCGTATGTTGCATTTTCTTGATACGGATTCATTCCGTGTATACTTTGCGTTTTGACATAAACGCAATATACTACTGTTTTGTGCACTAATTAGTTGATATGGATAAGACATGGATGTATTCCAATCGATTATCGAAAGACTACGAGAATGGTGTTTCCGAGTTTGTTAAGTTTGCTGTTGCGCACGCCAAAGACCCCAGTCGTATGACATGTCCCTGTTTGTATTGCTGTTATGGGAACCGGGTTGACGCAGTTCAGTTGGCATCGCATTTAATTCGGTATGGAATTGATAGGAGTTATACATGTTGGAATATGCATGGTGAGAAAAGTAACGGGAATGTTGAATCGGGGTATGCAAGGACCTATGTTTCAAATGATGATTGCAAAGATACATACGATTATGATCGAGTCGAAGAAATTGCAGAAGCGCTTGAAGAAGATCTTAACGATTGTCCCAAAATGTTCGAGAGGTTGGTAAGCGATGCAGAGAAACCGTTGTATAATGGTTGTACAAAATTCACAAGATTGTCTGCGGTGTTAAAGTTGTACAACTTAAAAGCCGGCAATGGATGGTCGGATAAAAGTTTCACAGAGTTATTAGCCCTTATGAAAGATATGCTACCAGAGGATAATGTTCTTCCCAATCGAACGTATGAGGCCAAAAAGATGTTGTACTCCATTGGCATGAGCTATGATAAGATACATGCATGTCCAAAAGATTGCGTTTTGTTTCGAAACGAGTATGCATCGTTAAATGAGTGTCCTAAATGCGGTGCCCCTCGATATAAGAAAAAGTTGTCTCCGACAAAAGTCTTATGGTATTTTCCTATAATCCCGAGATTTAGACGGATGTATCATAGTGAAACCGATTCAAGACACTTGACTTGGCATTCAGATGAAAGAATTATTGATGGAAAATTTCGACATCCGGCAGATTCTCCACAGTGGATGAAAATTGATAATGATTATCCTGAATTTGGAAAAGAAGCAAGAAACCTTCGCTTGGCATTGTCTACTGATGGAATGAACCCACACGGTATTCAAAGTATCTCGCATAGCACATGGCCTGTGATTCTTATGATTTATAACCTACCTCCATGGCTATGTATGAAGCGTAAGTACATGATGCTATCTATGTTAATTTCTGGGCCTAAACAACCAGGAAATGACATAGACGTATACTTGGAACCATTAATCGAAGATTTGAAGATTTTGTGGGAAAACGGTGTGGAGGTTTATGATGGTTATAGGAAAGAAAGTTTCAACTTGAGGGCGATGTTGTTTGGAACAATTAACGATTTTCCAGCATACGGCAATCTATCTGGGTATAGCATTAAAGGTGAAAAAGCGTGTCCTGTTTGTGAAGACGGAACCGATACCATGCGATTGAAACTTTGTCAGAAGAATGTCTTTCTCGTTCATTGTAGATTCTTAACTTCTAAACATCAGTATCGTGGATGGAGAAAAGCGTTCAACAGAGATACCGAACAACGTAGAGCTCCACCTGGTTTGACAGGTGATCAAATTTTTGAAAAGGTGAAAGATGTGAATATTCAGTTTGGCAAGCCTTTTGCACATAAAGTTGTCACAGGTGGGTGGAAGAAGAGGTCGATTTTTTTTGAATTGCCATATTGGAAATCTTTGTACGTAAGACATTTTCTTGATGTGATGCATATTGGAAAAAATGTATTTGACAGTGTTATTGGTACGTTACTCAATATAAAAGGGAAGTCTAAGGATGGCCTTAAATCAAGGGAGGACATGGTAGACATGGGAATAAGAACTGAACTGGGACCCGTGAAGAAAGGAAGACGGACATACCTACCACCTGCTGTTTACACTCTATCTAGAAAGGAGAAAAAAATATTGTGTAAGTTTCTGAGTGAAGTTAAAGTTCCAGAAGGCTACTCATCAGATATTAGAAGACTTGTGTCTATGAAAGACCTCAAGTTAAAGAGTTTAAAGACGCATGATTGCCATGTTATAATGGAACATTTTCTACCGATAAGTATACGTTCTATTCTGCCAAAAAAGGTAAGAAGCGCAATAACTAAATTGTGTTTTTTCTTCAAGTCAATTTGCAGTAAGGTGATCGATCCTGAGATCTTGCCAACATTGCAAAAAGAAATAGTTGTTACTTTGTGTGAGCTTGAAATGTATTTTCCTCCCTCGTTTTTTGACATAATGGTTCATCTTGTCGTTCATCTTGTGAAAGAGACACAATTGTGCGGACCAACTTATATGAGATGGATGTACCCTGCTGAACGTTATATGAAAATATTAAAAGGGTATGTGAAAAATCGGAGTCGACCAGAGGGTTGTATTGCCGAAAGATACATTGTTGAAGAAGCGGTTGAGTTTTGTACTGAATATTTGTCAAATGTTCAATCAATTGGACTCCCCAAATCTCATGTTGTTGAAAAAAAAGAAGGTAAGAAGCTAATTGGAAATAAAGTTGTGACAGTATCAAGGGTCGAACGGGATCAAGTGCATTTGTATGTTCTGCACAATGAGATTGAGGTTGAGCCGTATGTTGAAATACACAAGGGTGTTCTTCGAGGTTTAAATTCGAATAGAAATGAGAATTGGATTGTACGAGAGCACAATCGAAGTTTCATACCATGGTTTAAGGAACATATTTATTCAAAGTATCGTTCAGATCCCGCCTCAGTGACAGAAAGGTTGAGATGTTTAGCATATGGTCTAAGTTTGGTTGCGTTTTCTTATAGCGCATACGCAATTAATTGATACACATTTTATACCAAAGAACAAGATGATAAAAGTACTGTGCAAAATAGTGGTGTCACCTTGGTAGCTGAAGCAATGCACATATCTAGTGTGAAGGACTTAAACCCGAAATTTACAAATCTGTCGTATTTTGGGGTTATCGAGCGCATTTGGGTCTTTGATTATGAGAAATTTCAGATTCCTATATTCGGTTGCAAGTGGGTTGAAAATAATAATGGTATACGGATGGATAAGTCAGGATTTTTGCAAGTGGTTCTTAACAGGGAGGGCTACAAAGATGAGCCTTTCATTCTAGCCTCTCAAGCTAAACAAGTGTTCTATGTCACTGATCCGACAAGTACGAAATGGTCTATAGTGCTTTTCTCTAACAAAGTAATTGATGAAAAGATTGGAGACCAAGGCGATACTGGTGTTGACATTGAATCTTTTACTAGAAATGATCAAAATGAGAATGAATCAT